ATTGTTTTCTTTTCAAATGAAATTTATTGAAGAAACTGAGAAGCATATTATAGATCAAACAGAAAGCAAAAAAGACTTAGTTTTGTGGAAAATATGTACAAAAAGCATGAAAAAAAATTCCAACATTTTGCTTCATAAGCACTACAAAAATTTTCTAAATAAATTTTTTTTTAATTTGAATTGTTGCACAGGTCTCTAGCAATAATTTGGCTTTAACAGATTGAAAAAATATCAATTAGTCGACGAGTTATAGCCAAAAAACCATATAAACAATATACTGAAAATCGGCATTTGACTGCAAAGTTCGAAGGACGATTAAAAAAAAATTCGAACTAACATAAACAAACGCCGCGATACGGGTCTTCTAATTTAGCCTCTATTTTCACCCCTCACTCTCAGAATTGACCTAACTTTTGCTAACCTGAATTTGTTCCACAGTGTTATTAGACTTGAGTTTAATTTATTTCGGTTTCAAGTCTTTACGTTTATCATTGTCATCGTTACCAAAATCACTGAGGGTTTTTTGATTGTCAAAAAGGTGACTTGTTATAATAAAAATACTACATTCGTTCAGTGCTTTGCTTGTACTTACCTGCTTGGATAATGACGACGACAATGTACAAACAGCGCCTTTAAATAAAACGTATTCAAAGTATTAGTTATAAAAGTTTATTGGTCAAGTAAACTATACTTAAAAAGTAATGATGGCGTTTGGATTTATTCTACTCTTTCGATTCATATGCATTTCAAGCATTTATTCAAATGGCGCGTTTAATGAGAAGTAAAAAATGTTTGATTTTCACCAAAAACTTAAAAGTAGTTGTAGAATGAGTTTTTGTGTTGAAGCGCACATAGAATGATTTATTTTAATAAGACACTTCCAGTAGGCATATGTAGTTACTTAAAACTATAGAAAAGCATTAACTCAAATTCTTTCGAAATGTCAGAAGTCAATGTAAATGTAGATAAATGTAAACTAAAAACAGTATAAACTATTATGTTAGTTAGGCAACTAAAGTACATAAGTTAGGTTTTTTAATAGCTAATTAATAATCCAAAAGTGTTAGGGTCGTTTTATATTTATTAGTGAGTAAGTTTTTTTGTTAAATAATTAGTGGTATTCCCTACATTTGGGAAAAACCTCCAAACTTGTTTTGAAATTTCAAAACTCATGTAATAAAAATACTTACAGTCATAAATTTTCCGAGTTTAAGGGAATATGTACCATTCTCTGCTGTAACTTAAAAACTAAGGCATATTCAACAAGTTAGAAGTGACTGTCAAATTTAGTTCTTTTTGTAGCTGATTATAATGTTAAAAACATATATACAAAATTTAATCAAGAAATTCCTTTAATATGATATCGAATATCTATATTC